TTCAGAGGAAATTATACTTTTATTGTCATTATTATTATTATTATTATTATTATTTTTATTTACAGTACTGGTCAGATATTTTATTTTTTATCGTTAGTGCCATAGTAGTTACAGCAGCAGCAATATTTTTATCCTGATGATAACTGTTGCGACTGTTTCCCCCCACAGGCCAGATGAACTCGACAGTTCCCATGATGCACATGGAGCCTAAGATGGACTACGTGCCGGACGAAGCTCTGTACTCGGCGCCGCTCTACAAGACGTCTGCCCGTGCCGGGGTGCTGTCCACTACTGGTCAGTGGGTTGTGTTAGTGGCGTGTTATTGTTCGTGCGTTGTTGTTGACGTGTTACTGTTGGTGTGTTACTGTTACTGTTGGTGTGTGTTCGTTATTGTTACTATTATTATTAGGCTATTTTTATTATTATTGGGATATCATTATCATTATTATTATTATTATTAAAAACTATTTTTATTAGGCTTTTATTATTAATAGTATTATTTTAATAAATATTTTGAAATATTTTTTAGTGGGCGTTATTGTTGGAAGGTTTGAAGAATGCCTTCGGGAAAAATGACGAAATGACGCATTTTGCACTTAAGGCAACCCCCCCCCCCCCCCCCTTCTCAGAAACACATCTTTGTAAGTGTAAACGTTCATAAAATTATAATTATTACCAACATAAGACTGATATTTCACATTTATACATCTATATAATTAAGTAGCATGCTGAATGCAAAAATGCCATAAATTTTCTATGCTTAAAAGTATTTTGTAAGCTAGATCTTACCATAGAGGCCAGAAAAATTTACCATAACTTTTATGATTTTGCACACACTTGTGTCCCATTTTATTTGGTCCTTTTTTTTCTCTATAAATCTTACCCTATTGTGTATTACTAAATGCATCCTCTCCCTCCTCCCCTCCCCCCAGGTCACTCGACCAACTACGTGGTGGCGGTCCAGCTGCCCTCTGTCCACCCACAGGACTACTGGATAGCCAAGGGAGCCGCCCTGCTTTGTCAGCTCAGCGAGTAGATCACACCGATTGTGTGTGTGGGAGGGGGGCTCTGTCTGTCGCGCATACATGTATACACACACACACACCTACACACACACAAATGTACACACAC